CATATCAACTCCACTTTGTAACCTCTTCTTAGCTCAAAAGAAGGAATCACAGCACAGGCCTGAGAGCTATTTGGACCAAATCTCAGGAGCTGAACATGTCCCATCTGGACATGTTCCTTCCTTCCTTATAGACCTCCAACTCCTTTCAACTGGTCAGCTTCAGCCTTGTCACCACATATCAGCACCCATAAACGGATCTGTCAAATTTCACTTTTCTTCCCAATGTCTTTAAGCTTGACTTTTTAAAAGCAGTGTTCCTTTTTGGAATGCACTGTATGTGTTGAGGAAAATGTATGTGTTAGGAAATCTTCCCTACCACATCTCAGAAAATCTGGGAGCCCTTCTGGGTAAAAGCTTTGCTTTGGCATTCCCAAGCAGACCAGACCTCTTGTATCAGGTTCTTTGGCCCGCGCCACTCACCACTCTCTTTGCAATTCTTTCCCTCAGAGGTCCACGGAGATCAAAGAGGTTTGTTCACAAAACACCAGACATTTGAAATAGGGGTTTTGTGAGTTTTTAATCATTTTTTTTTTTTAAAAAAAAAAAAAAAGAAATTTAGTCATAAGCCAGTAGAGCTAGCTGAACTCTCTAGAACAGCAAAGCCTTAACCAAATATTGCGATTGTGAGGTGAACTGAGTAATTATTGAACTCAGCTTTCTCTCTAAGAGGGATTTCAGCTCTCGCCCAGTGGCACAAAAGGAGCCGACAGGATAACCGTTCCATATCTCTGGAAATCAAGAACTGGAGATGGTGGAGGGACAGGGTCCCGCAGCTGTGCAGCTGCCTTGCTTTTAGGCAGCCAAGAGCCCAGGCAGGCGAGGGAGCTTAGGGTTCAGCGGCTCCGGCTCCAGCGTTGGAGTGAGCGCACAGCGTAGGGAGTCGCCGAGCCGAGCTGTAGTTGGCGTTGCCGGCCAGGAATGGAATACTTGCATCTGTGCGGTAGTCAGCCACAAACATCTTCGCAGAGTTGAGGGAATCTAGGGAGAGAGGAGAGACTTGCAGAACACAAAGAAGGGCCTTCCGCGAAGAATATTTTTTTTTTTCAGATTTCACCAGGCTCACTTCAGACGTCTGTACACACAAAATTACTTTATTTGCCAGAGCAGAGAAGAAAGCAAACGCAGACGAGGTGAAGCCTGTCCATGGCCATCCTAGAAGCTGAAGTCCACTCTCCCCTCATCCTTTTCCCAGTTCAGAACCATAAAGACATCCCAGCCGTCCTCTGACTTAGATCTGGCAGGACTGAAATTGGGGGAAACCCCTAAGTGCCCAAGCTCGGGTGCAGCCCTTAGCCTCCAGGCCAGTGACTACACCCACTCAGGCCCAAAAAGCAGGCAGTAAATTCCTCTCCTATAATTAGTGCTCCTAGAAGGCATGTGTTTTGGATTGTGTGTTTGTGTGTGTGTGTGTGGGGGGAGGCTGAAGCGACCAGTGGCAACTTTCCCGCTTTATTCTTTTTCTGAGTTTTTATATTCTGTTTTTGAATCCAGTATTACAGCTCCCAACGTGAAAATCTGCTCTTGACACCAAGTCCCCTCTGAATGCCTAATTCAGAAGGCCTAAGGCCCAGGGCTTTGCATAGACCAGCGGGTCTGCCGGGTGTGTGTGTGTGTGTGTGGGGGTGCTTCTCTGATTTCTCTAGGCTTGTTTTGATGGAAACAAAGAGCCTCCCTCCTTCCCAAGACGTGTGCATATTTACAGAGCTGCACTGCAGTTTTAATAAAACATCTGTTCTTGCTTCTGCTGATGAGCTTCCATAATTGTTTTCAGACAAATTTAACAGGAAAATATAAATATATTTAGAGAAAAATTCAAGTTCCAGCCCCTCCCCCACAGACACCCAATCTTTTGCCAAGGGAAGAGAGAGAGCACAAAATAGGAAAAGGAAAAAAATATTATCTCAGGGAGGGGAGATCCAATTCATCTGACCTGCTCCCCCCCCTTGGAGCGAATACTCTCAGTAAATTTCAATTGCATAATTAAAGGTATAACTAAAGGAAATGGACTTTCTCCCTTTAGGAATAGAAAGGGGTTCAGGAGAGTATGGTGAAAGTTAACTTTCCCTAAAGTCCTTAGATGGAGGGAAGATATTTGTGTTTCTGCTTCCCCTGATCTCCCCCTTGCAGCATTTCTGCCTTTTTCCCCAGCAGCTGGTTTCTGTTCATTATAAATCGGCGAGACCTTTCAGGATCTGCCCTCTGTTTAGGAACGTAATAAAACACTTAACTTTTCCGGGCCTGAGACTTACATTCTGCTCCTCAGGTCGCCCACCCCTGAGCATACCACCTTTAGGCCCCAAAAGAAAATCTCCCCAACTTTGGGGCCCCTTTAATCTCTGGAGGGAGGGGCTCCAAGAAACTCATACATAGGGGGCTGTAGCACAAGACTCCCCCAGTGACCCTTCATTCCTCCCTCCCCCCATGTCCATAAAATTTTTTTTAAATATACAAATATATACACCCATGGAAAGCAAAACTTCATTAAGACATCCTATCTTCCATCATTCAATTTGTTTTACATTGCAACAATTTAATATCTTGAAGGAAGTACCACTGACATGATTTATCCCTCTAGCAATCTCACTCTGAAATAGGAGGGGAATTTACTCTTTCTTGCCATGGCTTCTACGTGATACACTGCTACCCTCAGGGCAAACAGGAGGCTGGGAACTTTGAAAGAGGTTACTGCTGTCCAGGGGTGCACTGGCTTGTTCTCTAGCCCAGGATACACCCCCCCCCACTCAGTTTTCTCTTCTCCTACCTCTTCCCCTATAAGGGGACTGGAGCCCCAGCCAGCTGTTGGAAACCTCTGCCCAGGCATGCCATGAATTTGAGTACAGTTGGATTGGAAAGCAAAAAACCAATACGCTACTGTTGTGTTTAGGGATAACTGCTGTGTCACCCCCAGATGAGATAACTATTAAAAATTCCTCTCTTATTGGAAGCCTTCTCCTTCTGCCCTCTTCACCTTGGAAAGAAACTAGTATAGTCAAAGGGTACAAACTTCAATAATTACAGGGTTCTTTCTTCTACTCTTCTAAATTCCAATCAATTTCCCCTCCTTTTCAAAGGCAGGGGCTGGATTTTTGAAAGCCAACACAACTTGTCTGGCAGGAAGACTCCTCAACCCCCTAAAGAGGTTCATGTATTAACTAACAATTTTGTCTGCACTAGCTCCTACACACTGTCTGCTTTTGGGTTCGAAACTTTATCCCCCCCCCCCCCCCCCCCCTGGGGACCCCCCGGGGAACCCTAAACGTTACAGAAGATGAATAAACGAGTTTTTTTTTCCCCAGCATAGTCCCGTTTATGGCTTTATTGCTACCCATTGATTACTCCGCTTTGTTACACAGAAGGGAAAGATCATAAAACCCGGCGACATCCGGGTTCTTGTTATAGTCAGTCTCAAAAAAAAAAAAAATTAGTGAGGGGAAAATATGAGCTTTCACTGCTTCCTGCGTGTTCCTCACCATCCTCTCTTTGTCAGCTCCAAGCATTTCTAGGCTATGTCGATATTAAATTCTGTTTGGGTTAATCAGAGGGAAACCCCAGCTGTACACCTTCTGCTGTTCACTCGCTGCAGCTCTCTCTGTCGCTGAAGCATCTACAAAACTACTATTTCCTGATCTCCTCCTCCCTTTTCTTAGCCTCAAGGTGGGGGAGAAAATGGAGGTAAGAACTGAGAATCCAGAGGTTTGTGAGGTGGCTGAGACAGGAGACCAAGCGTTCCCCAGGAATCCCTTTCCCAGGGTCTTACAGCTCAGGTCCAGGGGCACCTCCTTTGGCAGGGCAGTGAATCCAGAGTAGATAGGGTCTTCTGACCTGAGCTGGAGGTTGAGTGTGTTGGGATGTATCTGTTCATTGGAGTACCACCAAATTTCCTCTTTCGGGCTGGATCCTATGTGAATTACACCACTGGCCTGGCCTGAGCTGGTTCCAAATCATAAATTCTCACCAACACAAACAGGAGTTGATGTCTTTAGGGAGAATCTGAGAATCTGAGAAAATCTCTCTCTCTCTCTCTCTCTCTCTCTCTCTCTCTCTCTCTCTCTCTCTCTCTGTGTGTGTGTGTGTGTGTGTGTGTGTGTATTATTATAATGCTTTATTTGAAGCAAAAATGTTGCAAGAGTTTCCCCAAAATGTAGGTCCTGGGGAGGAGCAGAAGGTTAGGAGGCAAAAGGGAGAAGATGCACACTCCAGGCTCCTCACTGTACCCTGTAGTCTCACCCACACCCTTCAGGTCTGTTTGCCTCCCACATATCCTCTAACCCAAGACTCTTAGCTATGCAGCCTTCTTCTGTGCACCATGTTTCAGGAAATTTCCTTTTCCTTTTGAGTTTTAAAAATTACTGGGAAAATATACTGTCTAGTGATAGGGACCCGATTCATGAGTGTCAAGCCAGAATATCTTCAAGAATTTCTGGGAACCTCTTTCTACTGGGAAGGATCTCCTCAAATGAAGCAATCAGGATTCAATTTTAGAAAAATGGATCGGATACGAAAGATGAAATAGGTCTGAAAACAAGGATTTCCTGGCCACAGCACAGAAAGTTAACTGGGGCGGAGAGATTTCCTGGGACTAGACCTTTCCTTCCGCTGGGAAGAAGGCCCTGCTCACAGACCTGCATCCCACCCCCAACCAGTTCATATATATATATATATTTTTTTTTTTTTTTTTTTTTTTTTTTATATATTCTTAAAAGAAATTCAAGTCTTACTTTCAAAGCACATACTTAGTCTCAACTAGGGAATCAACAGAAGCAGAAGCGATTTTTTTCCCCTTTCTTGACATCTGGCTTGCGATTGGCTGGAAGGGGGTCAGCTGACTTTGTCATTTTGTCTGTCCTGGATTGGAGCCGTCCCTATAACCATCTAGTTCCGAGTACAAACTGGAGACAGAAATAAATATTAAAGAAATCATAGCCCGACCAGGTAAAGGCAAAGGGATGAATTCCTACTTCACTAACCCTTCCTTATCCTGCCACCTCGCCGGGGGCCAGGACGTCCTCCCCAACGTCGCCCTCAATTCCACCGCCTATGATCCAGTGAGGCATTTCTCGACCTATGGAGCAGCCGTAGCTCAGAACCGGATCTACTCGACTCCCTTTTATTCGCCACAGGAGAATGTCGTGTTCAGTTCCAGCCGGGGACCGTATGACTATGGATCTAATTCCTTTTACCAGGAGAAAGACATGCTCTCAAACTGCAGACAAAACACCTTAGGACATAACACACAGACCTCAATCGCTCAGGATTTTAGTTCTGAGCAGGGCAGGACTGCGCCCCAGGACCAGAAAGCCAGTATCCAGATTTACCCCTGGATGCAGCGAATGAATTCGCACAGTGGTGAGTTTTACAGCTCCGAGATATAAATTAAATAAACTGAACTGGCTTTATGACCGGCTTCCCTAGAAGAACGGGCGGAGAGAGTTTTTTATGGCCCCATAAAAACAATCACGCTCGTCTCCTCGCCGACACCGAGACAGGGCCCCCTCTTCAGCCCCCTCTGCTCGCCTCCCGCGCTGGCTCGCAAGGGCCTGGCCCCCTCGATCCCTGACGGATTGGAGGGCTCCAAAAGGAGCCGAGGGGGTAGGAACAGGGAAGGGAATGAGGGGAGGGGACAGAAGGTGAAGGAGCCCCCCAAAGTCTAGTTAGGCCGGAGAGATGGGAGGTAGTTAGGAGAGGGCAAAGAAGTGGGGAGAACTTTCCAGTGAACTGAGTGTTGAGGAAGGTAGAGGAGCCCAATCCTTGAGAGATGGGGCTCTTATCCCCAGTAGTTGGTATTAAAAAAAAAAAATCAGCTTTTAGACAGCCAGCTTTCGGCCTGGTTTTTGCCCCGCCCCCCCCCCAGCTTTCTTTGGGACACACATCTCGCACCTCGTGGGAGAACTGAATGAAGTTGGGGTTCTGGATGTCCCCCCAGTGGGGGTGGGGCAGAGCAAAAGGGAAAAGGCTAAAGCCCGAAGGGGCTGCGTGCTGTGGGCCAAGTTGAGAGGGTCTGGACTTTTTGCTAGACTAAAATGTCTGCAGAGGACGCCTTGCTGATTGTTTTTAGTGTGTTTTGTGCCCGGATCTCTAGGGGTCGGTTACGGAGCGGACCGGAGGCGCGGCCGCCAGATCTACTCTCGATACCAGACCCTGGAACTGGAGAAGGAATTTCACTTCAACCGCTACCTAACTCGGCGCCGGCGCATCGAGATCGCCAATGCTCTGTGCCTGACCGAGCGACAGATCAAAATCTGGTTCCAGAACCGCCGAATGAAGTGGAAAAAAGAATCTAATCTCACGTCCACGCTCTCAGGGGGTGGCGGAGGGGCAACTGCCGACAGCCTGGGAGGAAAAGAGGAAAAGAGAGAAGAGACAGAAGAAGAGAAGCAGAAAGAGTGACCAGGACTGCCCTTGCACCCCTTTCTCCTCCCTTCCTCATCCTAGCTCCCCGAATCACACACTCTGTATTTATCTCTGGCACAACTGATGTGTTGTGGCTTCCTAAAAGAAAACAGGGAGTCAAACGTGGACCTGAAAGTCAGCTCTGGACCCCCTCCCTCACTGCACAACTCTTCACTTGCCTCTTCCTCTAGCTCCCTCGCTAGCTCCTTCCTGGCTTGTCTGCAGGCCCCTTCCCTCGCCTAGGCCTAGGGGACCTGAACCTCGCTTCAGTCTCCACAGATGTCCCTCCAAGTGAGCCTTAGGCTCCCTCCCCACTCCCGACGCCCTTCACCCCCGCCTTCCGGCGCATAGAGCTGGCTCCAGGGCCTGGGGCCTCCACTCCGGGGCCTCAGGGCCCGGCCTCACAGCCGGAGGGCGGGAGGCCTCAGGAGGGCGCGCCTCGGCCCCGCAACAACCCCCAGGGCCTTTCCCCAGTCCCTGCCCGGCCCCTCTGCCCCAGCAAATGCCCAGTCCAGGCAAATTGTATTTAAAGATTCCTGGGGGTCATTATGGCATATTTCGAACTGTGACCGTTTCTGTGTGAATATTTCTAGCTGTATTTGTGGTCTCTGTGTTTATATTTATGTTTAGCACCGTCAGTGTTCCGGTTTCATTTTAAAAAGCATTTAAAAAAAAAAGAGGGAAAATAGCGAAAAGAGAAAAAAAGTGAATGACGTTTGTTTAGCCAGTAGGATAAAATAAATAAAGAAAAAAAGAAACCCCTACGTGTTATCCTCCTGTATAAATCCGACCTCTGGATCCGTTCTCGAATATTTAATAAAACTGATATTATTTTTAAAAGTTTATAATCCGCCTGTCTGCTCATTCGCCTTCCCGCTGGCTTGCCAGCAGAACTCTCGCGGCCTGCCGCCTGCAAAGCCCCCAGCCCTCCGCACTCGCCTGCCCTGCAGTCAGGCGCTGAGCCTCGGTCTCTGGGTTCTCCTGACCGCGATAGGGTTCTGAGAGGCCTCTGGGACCCTCCCTACACGGAGCAACACACACCCCGGAAAAGAAAAGGAGGAAAGGGGCCGCCTGGACTTTCGCTGGGGGCGGGGAAGCTTGAGTGAGCCGGGTTGGGCTCCTAGCCCCACGCGGGCCTTTCTTCCTGCCTGTAGCAGCCAGGGATCTTCGGCTTCTGAGCCCTGAGCCCAAAAATGCGAGAAAAGGAGCCTGATCCGAGCACTAGGGTCGCTCCCACCCACTGCCAGCAGCACGGGGAGAAGGACTAGCAAGCAAGCCCCCAGCCCGCCAGGCCGGCTGTTGTGAAACCTGGCTGAGGCTTCCTGGCAATCCAAGGACTTCAGGAGTCGGTCCGGGACTGAGCGATCCAAAGACGACTCGAAAGAGAAAGACTGGAAACTGAATTCTGGCCTGTTCTGGGACTCCTGACCCGCCAGAAAAAAGTCCTTCTTCCTTACAGCCCTAGCCTGTCTGGTTCCTGCCTCTTCTCTCCTCAAATCTGGCGCATGAGGGGCACAGTAGGACCCTAACCCTTTCTCAGATCCAGCCTTCTTTCCCCAAGGCTCAGCATAGAAACCTGAGTGGGCCTAGGGGAGAAGTGGGGGTGGAAGGTCTCCTGGAGGGGGAAAAATCCTGAGTTTTCCCAGACTCTCCAGGTCCCTGCCACTGCCCCCCTTCAGAGCCTCCGCCAGAGGGGAGAGTGAGTTCTGGCAGAGGCTGAGAGTTCCTGAGGAAATGCTGAGAGTAAAGAGTAGGGCCTGGGACTAAGAAAGCAGGGGATAGGACCCAAAGGTTGAAGAAACCCTGGCCAAAGGGTTGCCTGACTCCTGGCCTGCCCATCCCCATCCCCATGGGCCTTCTGGCTTGAAACCAGGGCTAAGGGCTTACCCCTAAAAGAGTAAAAGCAGGCCTTTATCTCTGCCTTGCTCATAACATTTGTGGAGGTTTCTCTCTTGCCCCTCTATGCTCTTGGGAGTCATCTGAAATATCTGGTACCCCATCAGGATCACACAGAACTGTAGAAGAGCCCTCTCATTGTGTCTAGTTACACACATGGGAATGTTGCCTCTTGCCTCTCTAGGGTTGCTAACATTGTGAAGTCTACCCAAGTCCACCTGGCCTCTCACCTCCAGTCACATCCCAGAGAGTACCTAGGACTCTCAGCCTCAAGATCTGTCTGCCTGCTTCTGCTCACTCAGGAACCCTCCCTCCTCTTGTGTATCCTGCCTACCTCCCAGAGGTTAATTTTCCCAAGCCTACAAGGCAAGCTCATCTTAATCAAAACTGAGTTCAATCCTCCCAAGCAAGAGACCTTGACCTTTAGTTTAGGTAAGCCAAGTTAAGTCCTCTTGGTTCTCCAGTCTGGGCTTTAGCTACCCCAACTCTCTTTCTCAGTCATCATTGAAGTCTGGAAGGCTCTGGAGGTAGAGAACTGGAACTATCCATTACAAAACCCACCAGTGTAATTCCTAAATAAGGCCTCATCTTTTCTCAAATTTAAACAGAATTTTAAAGACAAGCTCAAGGGTTACTTTGTCCAACAAGCAACAACTTCTCTACAATTCGACTGCCAGAAGGCCAAGCAATGCTGCAAGATGCAATTCCTCCAAGTCGGCACCAGGTGTCGCTGTGAGCTCGTTGTCCCGACTACCCCCCAATTCCAAGAACCATTTTTTTCCTCCCCCTTGCTTCTCTTTCTCTTTCACACCCCCCCACCCCCCGGGCTTTGCCAACATATCAAGATGCGTTTCGCCGGCTTCCATCACTAACCTCCCGGAGGTCATCAAGCCAAATTTATGAGTGGCCGCTCCAGTCACGTGACTCTATTTAAGGCTCCCTTATTTGGGAAGAGCGCATAGGATAAAGAAAGAGATATCTCCACCTATAAATTGTGCACTTTGGAGAACAAAAACCCCCTCAACTTCAAAGAGTCACAAATCACCCTTAATCAAAAAGGGTGCAGAAATTTTTTTTGGGCCCTCCCCGCCATGAGCTCCTACGTAGCCAATTCATTCTATAAGCAGAGCCCCAATATCCCTGCCTATAACATGCAAACTTGTGGGAACTATGGATCGGCCTCAGAGGTGCAGGCATCCAGGTACTGCTACGGCGGATTGGACTTAAGCATCACTTTCCCACCGCCTGCGCCTTCCAACTCTCTCCACGGGGTAGACATGGCTGCCAACCCCCGGGCTCACCCCGACCGCCCCGCCTGCAGCGCCGCGGCCGCTCCGGGACACGCTCTGGGCAGAGACGAAGCGGCTCCTCTGAACCCTGGGATGTACAGTCAGAAGGCGGCTCGCCCGGCGCTGGAGGAGCGAGCTAAGAGCAGTGGGGAGATCAAAGAGGAGCAGGCGCAGACAGGGCAGCCTGCCGGACTGAGCCAGCCACCGGCCCCGCCACAGATTTACCCGTGGATGACCAAACTGCACATGAGCCACGGTAAACTTTAGGACTTCATTTTGCGCGCTCGGGTCCGCCTGGGTTTTATAGGCCATGCGGGGCAAATAAAGAAAAAAAACCTGCGGCCATAAATTTTACGATCCAGGCATCAATGGCTCGTAAAACTGTCCACTAAAAGGCTTAGAGGCTGTGTGCGCCCAAATTTACGACGACATAATTGGATCATAGGAACAAAACGTGTATAAAAGGCAATATTCAATTTTGGGGGGAGAGGGAGGGAGTTAAAAAAATAGAGGGATCTGAAGGGTGAGGAGCATGGGGCTCCAGAGTGGGGATCCCCCTGCGGCTCCCTCCCTCCCCCCCCTGCGGAGCCGGCTCGGCCAGTGCTCGCGGCTCCGGAGGATTCCCGCGACTCGGGTGGGGGGGGTGGGGGGTCCCCGGTGCTCGGATCTCGAGGGTGCTTATTGTTCGGTCCGAGCCTGGGTCTCCCTCTTCCCCCCATCCCCCCTCAGCCCCTCCGGCCGCAGAGTGAAGGCGGCGGTGCAAAGTTTCCTGCCCAGGCGGAGGCGCTTCTCCCGGGACCGGGCCTGCCCTCCTGCGGCCCTTCTGGCCTGTCCCAAGGCGCTCACCTCCACTCACTCCGACCACGGGTGGGGCCTGGGACTAGGGTGGGACGTTGGGGTGCTGCACGCTATTCACCCCTCCTTGGTTTGGGGGGATTTATGTTCCAGAGACGGATGGCAAGCGGTCCCGAACCAGTTACACGCGCTACCAGACCCTGGAACTCGAGAAAGAATTCCATTTTAACCGCTACCTCACTCGCCGCAGGCGCATAGAGATCGCCAACAACTTGTGTCTCAACGAGAGACAGATCAAGATCTGGTTCCAGAACCGCAGGATGAAGTGGAAGAAAGATTCCAAAATGAAGAGCAAAGAGGCTCTTTAGAGGAAGCAGGGAGCCTTCAGAGAGCACCCCGGTCGGCTGTGGTCCCTGCGCCCTTCCTTTTCGGTTTTCCTCCTTCTAGATTTTGAGGCGGAGGCTAGAGCACTGGCTCTGGGCCTCCCAGACAAAAAGTGCATTTCTTTGGCATTCCGAATCCCCATCGACCCAGGGTTCTGCAGGACAGCCTGCATTGCCTGTCTTGCCTCAGCTCAGCTGAGCACCTCAGGCCCGGGGCACATTCTTGTAGGGCGGGTACTGGATAAGCCTCAGCCTGGGCTGCCTCTCCCGGCCCTAGCTCGGCTAGCTTGAGTTAAGGTGAGACAGACTGACTGTAACCCCTTCTCCCCGACCTCCACCTCACCCTCTTCTTTGTTCCTGCCTAGGCTGGCCAGGCTGCTGAAGGCTGGTTGTGCCAGGCAGAGGCTATGACCAGAATCGGGGTGCTTTCAACTAACCTTTATAACTTCTAAACTCGTCTTTGCTCATTAATTATTTGCATATGAAAGAGAGATAAGTGAAAGTGGGCTTGTAGTCTCCGAGGTTGTCCTATGCTCTTTAAACCTTCCAACCCCTCCCCAAAGTCCAAGAACTTCCCTAGCCTGGCTTGCTGCATGCACTCTCAGGTTCACAGTCCCAGCCTGCTAGCTAGCTCAACTATTGGGGTCTCTTGCCTTTGGACCCTAGCAAGTGGTTCTTTGAGGCTTTTTGCTATCCTGTATATCTTGCCATGACTTTCTCACCTTCCTGCCCCATTGCAGTTGCCCAACTATTTATTGACTCCAAGTCCTTCCTGAAACTATATTTTGTCATATCAAATAAAGCCAGAAAAAGAACAGGATTGAAGATTCAGTGACTTTTCTCTGTTTAGGGCATGCAATGAGTAGATGTGTCTAACATAGGCTCTGAGATGTGTGGTAAGCCATCCCTTTAAAAATATTTTTAAACACGTTTAGGAGAAGCAAGAATAGGGAACAATGTAACTGAATTCTTTTCTTGATTCATGGTTCCAAGAAGGCCTCTGTGGTGAAGGGGAGTACACTTGAGGGCTCCTGTACTGTTGTTTCCACATGTTGTGGGTGTCTAAGGCACCCAAACCTTTCTATACCCTATTCTCAATGTTGGCTAAAAAGACTTGAAGTTTCTAGACTGTCTGTTGTCTGTACTTAATGGCAGAGCATAGGAACTCATCGCTCCACTGACTTAGATTTGGGTCTTTCTGGATCTGGGCCCTTCTGGATCTGGGTCATCCCTGAGGGTCCTTTCTGGACATAGAAAACAGGTTGAGTCCTCAATCAAGGGCCATGTTCGATCCCAGAAGGATTCCCAGCAATAGTAGGTTCTGCTTGTTAAAGAGGTGTTGGGGAAGGGAAATTGGCCATGGTTTGAGATGTTCTTCAGCTTTCTAAGATATGGGATGGGGCAAAGGGGGACCAGGGGGACAGTGAATGCAACCTGCAGTGAGTGCCTGCCTTAGAGAAAACGTACAGACTGCTCTCTGTCTTC